CTGACCTGGAACTCATTATATAGACCAGGCTGGTCTCTATCTCACAAGAGATCCGCCTTGCTTCTGCCTCCTGAGTGCTGGGATTAAAGGGGGGAACTACCAACTGGGCAAGTCACGTTTTTAAAGTAATATAAATAAAGTAAGCAAGGCTTATTTGTCCCATTAGAGACTGAATATTCTTGAACACCACCTGAGACCATCACCTTATATCTTTGATGATGAAAGAACATGCTGGTATAGGAAATGACTGAATCTGAGTACACAGTTAGGAATGGCACATAAGCATCTGGAGTCATATAAAATGTGGAAATCACACCAACAATCCGAAGGACTAGGAAAAGGAATTTAATACAATGTATCTTTTGAAAACCTGGCTCTTGCTGTGATACAGAATAGGAACTAGAAATAGCGAAATGGCAATAAGGTAAACCAGAGTGCTCATATTTATATTCACATATAGTGTGGAAAGTCTGTACACAAGGCACACACACCACACACACACACACACGCACGCACACACACACACACACACACACGTATTTGAGACAGGATCTCACCTAGTTCTGACTGGCCTGGGAACTCACTATGTAGACCAGGATGACCTGGAACTTACAGAGATATACCTGCTTCTGCCTCCTGAGCACAAATTAAAGGCATGTGCTACCACACTAGGCCTATATTTATATATGTAACAAATTTCATTTTAAAAAATGGTACTCAAAAAGAAAGAAGATGTATTGATTGGAAATCAATATTTGTTTAATGGCTACTATGCATACTGTCCTTCAGACAATGACATAGCTTACCATCTATGACAAGGAAAACAAGGAACAACATTAAAAACAAGAGGATGGGGGCTGGAGGGATGACTCAGTGGTTAAGAACACTGCTTGTTCTTACAGAAGACGTGGGTTCAAATCCCAGCATCCACATGGCAGCTAACAACTGTGCGTAACTCCAGTCCCAGGGGATCCAACAGCCTCTTCTGACCTCCATGGGCATTGCATGACACAGGTGCACTTACCTACATGCAGGCAATACACACATACACATAAAATAAAAATAATAAAACTTTTTAAGAAGTTTTAAAAACAAGAGAATGGAGTCCATGGGAGAACTGTGGCAGGAATGACTAGTAGTCCACCTTGCTGGTTAAGTAATCAGATGCTAAAATAATACCCTCATGCTTGCCAACTTGGCAAACTACAGACTGTTTTTCTAAATTTTCTACAGTTCTGGGATATCTTTTTCACAAATAGCCAAAGTATTATAATATTTTCAAATAAAAAAAATGCAGAAACCCCATAATGCAAAAGTCTGATCATTTTTAAAATAATCTCAAAAATTCTTAGAACTACACTCTGATAATTGTTTTATACTTAACTTTATAATTAAGAAGTAGATGTACTATATAACCCTCCTCACTTAAAAAGCTATAAATCAAAATAGTCACAAACTAATATAAATCTCTATGGCAATGAAAATAAAAAATTCCATTGTTAAGGCTGGAGAGATGGCTCAGCAGTTAAGAATACTGGCTGCTCTTACAGAAGACCCAGGTTTGAATCCCAGCATCCACATGGTCGACAACAACTGTACGTAACTCCAGTTCCAAGGGATCCGACAGCCTCTTCTGTCCTTCACTGGCATTGCATGACACGGGTGCACTTACCCGTGCAGGCAATACGCACATACACATAAAAATAATAAATAAAATATAAAAAATTCCATTGTTTAAGATTAGTCTTTCTATACTATTTACTTTTTCTGTCACTACTTTTTATACAGCCTTATTAAGTAGGAAAAAGGTAAATCTACTGTTTCACAAGTGAGATGCTAAAGCAATGAAAATACACAAGAGAAGAATCAAAAGTGAAAATACCCTTTCCGTACCCACTAGACTTTAGAGGATGGAATCAAGGGAAGGAAGGAAAGAAAGAAGGAAGGAGAGCTAATAGAACAGAAATTTCCCCTAAGTTCAAGAGACTAGAGTAATACAAAAAACATTTTTAAAAAATCCACAAGTTCCATACTCCAAACCATATAAACATTGCACTCATACGATGATACTAAAAATGAGACCACACACACAGTATGGTTTACAGTTCCTGTCTCAAACAAGAAAAAAGGAAGCTAAATTAGCAAGCCACCATTCCACTCTAAGGGAACAGGGTCTACACTCTGAAGGCAGACTTTTCAGATTTCAGTTTATGTCAAGACTTACATTAGCATCACAAAAGTGAAAGAAGTCACTGGGATATCCATGTGTTATGTATCACCCCATCATTCAGGCCAATGGTGTGGAACGAAACAAAAAGGGTTGTCAACCCTGAGCAGGGGCCATCCTTCCTCAGTCTTTTAAAGTAATGCTACTGAGAGCAGTAACATCTTTCAGAGACTTAATAAGCAATAACAACTACAAGGTCTTGTCAGGTAATCTTTCTTTCACTGTCCCACACCATCAGTCTGAAGGTAGAGAGGGGGAAGAAAAACCCTCTTCCCTTCCCCTGACAGTGTCACAGGGCAGCCAGAGCCTGGGATGACACTAGCCTATTTCCAACAGGGAAAGAGGTGCACCCACACAGGAGCAGCAGCAGGAGGCATAAGAAAAAGGAACAGTGGGAAAAGAAATGCAGAAGCATTTCTATCATTTTAAAGTTTATACTGTATAGCAGCCGAGTCTTACAAAAAAACAATTACTTCCATTTTGCCTCCAACCACTCAAACCCTTCCTTGTTGGTGAGTCAGTAGGACACGGGGGGGGGGGGGGGGGGGGCAGTTTGTGTTTTTTTCATATGCATGTGGAGGGGGGGGGGGGGGGGGGGGGGGGGAAGTAATGCTTTTTTTTCTTTGAAGCACTGGACCAATCAAAGCTGTGAACTTCAGAATAACAATGTGAACAATCTAATTTTTAGGGGTATTCTTTTACTGTCTTTGCTAGAAACAATAATAAGAAATAATAGTGTCTCCCCAGAGGTATGAAATGCCATTGAACTGAGTGATCTAATATAGGTTGACCATTATAATCATGCCTTTTAAGCCACTACAAAAATACAAATAGATTTTACAAAATTGAATGTGAAATAAAAATTTGTCCTCCCTTTAAAATAAAGGGCCTTTTTTCTCAATACAGAGAATTCAGGTATATATAAAATAAATCAATATAAAATTACAATTAAGAACGAATTTAAAAAGTTGGGCACGGTGGTGCACACCTTTAATCCCATCACTCAGGAGGCAGAGGTAGGGGGATCTCTGTGAGTTCGAAGCCAGCCTGGCCTACATAGGGACTTCCGGGCTAGCTGGGGCTACAGGGAGACCCTGTTTTGATAAGATTTAAAACAAAAACAAAAACAAAAACAATTTAAACATGGCCTTTAAGAAATCCTGATTGGTTTCAACTGTCGATCTAACTGAGCCCCTGTTACATGTGAAAAACTGAAATTCCACAGAGTGTGCAAGGTAAGACAGGCCTTTCTCACAGGAAGATTTTAACTTAAGGGGAGAGAAGAAAAATGCCCACATAGAGATGACACAAAGATACCAGAAGATGCAAGAACAGCGGTCAGGTTTCCCAGGTAAGACTGGAAAATCTGACAAAGGCCTGAGCAGTTATGGCATTTCAGATGGTCCTGGAAAGGTGAGCTGGATCTTAAAAACTGGAGGGCTAGAAAGAGGATACAAAATGAGCAACCTTACAGAAGCACAGAAGAACACTTCAGTAGGGAGTATTTTCCAACCTGCACTCAAACAAAAGGATTCCACGGGCAAACAAATATGAAAACTACTACGCCACACATACTCGCTTTGAAATTCAGGGTACGCTGGTACAGAAAAGGTTCTGAGGAGGGACTGCCAGAAGTGCCTATTAACAACCCAAGCCTATGTCATTCCAGATTTCATTTGAAAGAACTTCTATCAAGTCCTCAAACACTGAAAATAGCATCTAAGCAAAACTGGGGCAAGGCCAGGAGACTATAGCTGGGGGCTACTGTGGAAGGCCTCTCCAATACCAGGCTGAGAAACAGATTTATAAAGCCAGTGTATTGGTGCATGCCTTTAATCCCAGAACTTGGGAAGAGGCAAGTAGATCTCTGTGAGATCAAAGCTAGCCCAGCCTACATATCAAGTACTAGGCCAGCTGGGGCTACAGGAAGATCCTATCTCAAAAAATTAAAAAAAAAAAATTTAATTAAGACTAAAAGGCAATAATAATAAGGTGCTGCCTCATGAAGTAGTGCTTATTATTTTAAACATATATTACACACTGAGCTTCATAGAAGCCTTAATAACAAACACAAGAAGTTAATGAATTTCAATAGTACATACATGTTTGGTACTGAAACACCCTTTCTACTTCATTTTACTTGACAAGAAATAAGAAACAATATAACAACGGAAATAATATTCCTAGTCAAAGGGAGAGGGGAGAGAAGTAACAATAATGGAAGTCAAGATCTGCCAGCCGCAGCAGAGGCAGGCACAGAACACAGGGACACCCAAATCCTGGACCTTTCCTTCCTCCCTCTGAGTAAGCCTCAAGGCCAAGAGGTCACTCAAATGAAGTTCCAAGCTAAAGCTGCCCTCCTGTCATGTTCCTACATGAGAACTAGGCATTACAAACCATTTAAAAGTAAATAATCCTAGGGGCTAGAGAGATGGTTCAGCTGTTAAGAGCAGTGGTTGCTCTTGCAGAGGACCCAGGTTTGATTCCTAGCACCCACATGGTGGCTAACAACTGTCTATAACTCTAGTTCTAGGGGAATCCAACACCCTCTTCTGACCTCTGCAAGTATTGCACAACATGAGTGCACCTACCTACATGCAGGCAATACACTCATACACTTAAAATAAAAATAATAAATAAAATATTTTAAAAAATAGAGTAATTCTGACAACTTGAAAATTTAAAATAACAACTTCAGTTATTTTATTGGAACTATGAATGTACTCACACTAATTTAACATAGACATACACTTACACCCCTTAACTGAATTACCTGTGGCTGGAACTGAGGAACAGGTGGTCCTTGCATTCCTTGTGATTGTTCATCCATGGTCTGAAGCAACAGGGACGTTAGAATTCTGCAAAGATGTAAAGTTGAAATTTAAATAATGCAATTACATATATTCAAATATGACAGATTTGCATTATGCTTCAAAAGCTATTTAAGAAACCCTTCACTTGTATTTGTGACATTTTCTAAACTCAAGTTCTGTTATTTCATACAATCATTCACTGTCTCAACTGTTTCCACTGCTCTGCAGTAGCACTATGGATTTAGAAGAGCCCATGGCTTGAGATGAATTCTTTCCTTCTCCTTTCTGCTTGTAGATCAAGGGCATTTCCCTTAGCCTGTGCTTATAACAAGATAATGCCCTGCTCAATACATGATATCCTTAAAATGTACCTTTTCTTCATATTATAAAAATATTAGGACTGAAGAGCTGGTTCAGCATTTAAGAGCACTAGCTGCTCTTGCAGAGGACTTGGGTTCAATTTTTAGCAGCCACATGGTGGCTAACGACGATCTGTAACTCTAGTTCCAGAAGATTCAATGACCCCTTCTGGCCTCCTCAAGCATTACATTCATAGGTGCACTTACATACAGGCAAGCATATACATAAAATAACTCATATACATAAAAATAAATAATTTTTAAATAAAACTATTAGTACATCTAATATCTTTATTATGTTATTCAACTTTTTCCTTTATTAAACTCATCAAAGTACAATAAAAATATTCTGGATATAGGTCATTTGAATTACAAATATGATCTTAAACAACATGACTCCTCTTTGTAAAGCCCTCTCAATGATGAACAGATATTCAAAATTTTAATGTAGTCTCAGTAATCAGTCTTCTCCCTCATTAATGCTTTAGGTATAGCTTACGAATTAGTTCCCTACTGTAAATTCCCTTAGAGTGTTCTCTTCTTTACTGTTTTACCTTCTATGTTAAGATTACATTTATATACTGAAAAATATCAATATTTGTTTTTCCTTATAGATACCCAGATGAGCTCTTTTCAGAGAGTACCCTTTACCATAATGCACTACTGCTCCGTCATCTTCGTCATGTATCGCGTCTGTACACCTACACATGCACACACTCACATGCACACACACATATACAATCAGCCCTCTGTATACAGTCGCTATGTGTGTTCTGAACATGTATAGATTTTTTTTCTTGGTATTATTCCTTAACAATACAATATATAACAACTATTTACAGAGCATTTACATTGCATTAGGCATAAACAATCTCTGGATGATTTACAGAATATTGGAGATGTGTACAGGTTACATGTAGATATATAAGGGATTTGAAATATGTAAGCTCTACTTTATTTAGAGGATTGCATATCATTAGGTTTTAATCTCCATAGAGGATGAGAGGATCTTGAAATCAATTCTCCACCAGTACCAAGGAAGCCTGTGTCTCTTTCAGCCTTCACTTTCTTTTCCATTGCAGAGGCACTGTCAGTGTATACCCACTATGTGCACAGCTAAAACTGTATTTAATAAGTATCAGGCAGCACTGCTCTACTACAAAGTCTCTATAGCCAGGCACTTTGGCTCACATCTATAATCCTAGTACATGGGAGGTTGGTGTAGGAGGATCACTACAGACCCAGCAGCAGCTTGGACTATATCATGATTCCAGGCCAGAGTGAGCTACAGAGTGAGAACCTGTCTTATAAAAACAGATTAAAACAGAAGTCTTTATTGCTACTTAATTATGCATCAGACTTTAATTTGAATTTCAGAACGAGTCTGCTTCTATTTTAAAAACTGCTGAGATTTTGATTAATATATACTGATTCTATAGATAAACTTCTAGAGAAACAATATTAACAACAATATTAAGTCTTCAAACTCATGGACACAGAATAATTTCTTCCAAAATCAGCTTTCAGTTTTGATATACTGGTCTTCAACATCTATTTCCAGATTATTTCCTAAGTAATCTTTTTTTTGGATACATTGTAAAAGCTGGGGTTTTTTCATTCAAGTTGCTGATTGTTAGTGTACAGAATAAAACTATATAAACTAGTAACTCCCATTTACTTAGTTCAGATAGCTTTTTTTTGAAAACCACATCACTTTCATATCTCTAGACAAATGAAATTTCTCCCCACATGCTAAATATGGATCCTTATTTTTACATCCTGTCTTTTTTTTTTTAATTTTTTTTGTTTGTTAGAAGAAGTATTTCATTACAACAGCATTAACCTATTCAGTAACATTTTTCTGAGCTAGGGTACATCTCTTTCAAAATTGGCTGTATATTTTTAGGTTTACAGATGAATTATTACACTTGTATAGTCTTTTACTCATTATAAACTCTGTAAGACATAAAATTAAATGAGGTCCCAACGTTTAAAAAAGATCTCCACTTCATTGTCAAAACACACAGTTTCATACAGAAAAATTCATTCCAGGGCTCTTGACATTGAGAAGTTTTCACATGCATTTCCAATCTCTATATACATGACTATCACTGGTCACAGTCACCCACCTTCTGAGCTCCTCGGCATCTGAGCATGAATACAAACTCGTCAGGTAGACAGCCTTCCTCTCCCACTAGAGCCTCCATACTCTGCTATCCCTGCCACTGTTAATCTCTTCTTGGTTTAGTTGTAGTGGTTCCCATGCCTTTAGATATGCATCAATTTCTTTTAGGCTTTCAAATTTAGTAGCATATAGGTTTTTAAAGTATTCCCTTATAATGTTCTGTATCTTTCTGGTGTCTGTTGTGATGTTTCCCCTTTCATCTCTGATTTTGTTGATTTGGAGGTGCTCTTTCTTTCTTTTGGTTAACTG